CTCTTTTAAAAGTATCATCATTAGAAGTAATTCCTTTTATGCATTATTTCCTCCTTAATACAAAAGCAGTGCATTTTCTCTAGAATTACTGAGCTTTGAAAAAGAGACTTGGGCGCCTGGGTGGCTCAGTTGGTTAAGTGTCTGCCTTCAGCTCGGATCACGGTCCTAAGGTCCTGGGATCCAGCCCCACGTTGAGCTTCCTGCTCAGCTGGGAGCTTGCTTCTCCCTCTCCCTCTGCTGCGCCCCCTGCTTATGTCTCTTCCTCTCTCTCTCTCCCACCCTCGGTCAAATAAATAAAATCTTTTTAAAAAAAAGAGAAAGAGACGATAAAAAACACCTGAAATGAGGTGCTTGAGTGGCACAGTCAGTTAAGTGCCTATCTCTTGTTTTCAGCTCAGGTCATAATTTGGGGGGGGTGAGGAGGGGGTGGCTCCATGCTCAGCTTTGAGTCTCCTAGCAATTATCTCTCTTTCTCCTTCTGCTCTTCCCCACACTCACTCCCCACCCCCAAAATAAAGAGGAGAAAAAAAAAATAAAGGTACCTGAAACCAATTACTAGGACAGGTGTAGGCTAGAAATGGAAATTTTGGCTTAACATCATTTACATCTTAAAAAAAAAAAAAAAAAAAAGGAGTGTGTGATTAAGAAACTAAGTTACCAAAAAAATACATAAACAGGTCTTGAATAATGGGGTGCCTGGGTGGCTCAGTGGGTTAAAGCCTCTGCCTTCGGCTCTGGTCATGATCCCAGGGTTCTGGGATCGAGCCCCGCATCGGGCTCTCTGCTTAGCAGGGAGCCTGCTCCCCTCCCCACCGACCTGCCACTCAGCCTACTTGTGATCTCTGTCTGTCAAATAAATAAAAACTTAAAAAAAAAAAAAAGGTCTTGAATAAATCTGTAGGTTTTTTTTTTTTCTTGTTTTGTCTCAGTTCACTATCGTCTGTGCTGTTTTTCATCATGGAGTGTGAAATGACAGGTCTCCAGGTGTCCTAGACATACTAATATTAACTATATGCGCGTAACTCTTTGGTATTTTCCTTCTAAAATTTTCTTCAGGGTTTCTTCATATATCCTTTGTCTTAAAGGAGTCACAGACAATGAAAACAAGTGGGAGATGTTCATTCACAGAAGTAGTCTCCTGCTGTTAGCTCTCTTTTTATGTCTTACCCACATGAAAGTGTCGTCTCCCACCAAACATAATCGTCTCTAAAAATACAGTCATGTTAAACTTAAAAAAAATGTGTCTGTCCCAAGTAAGTACTTAAACAGAGTACACTTTATTGCATGTAAATTATTCCTCCGTAAGGTTGATGTGAAGACACGCATCTGTTTCAAGTGAGAAATCTGGACATGCTAGAGCCTGGGACTAAGGGGAGCCTCATGAAGGTGTTTACAAAATTCAAAATGATTTCTTGTGATCCTACTGGTGGCACTTAGAGTGATATAGGATGTGCTCTTTGATTATTCTTAACAGCAACAGATAATAGAGTGTCCTGTCATGATATCCCACATTGTACTAGGTCTTAGAATTGGCTGACAGTACTCTGCAGTGTGTAAATATATGTGATATTCTTTTCTATGTATCTGTGTACATACATAGCATATAGACATGTGGGGATCATGCAGCATTGGTGAAAATGTTTTTATAGTCTTAACATATTTTTGCTTTATACTCTGCATCGGTAAGAGCAAGGATATCAGAAAATGTAACTGTTTCTAAATTTAAATCATCAAATCGCTTTGATATGGTGAATCTGGATTGTTACATTGAAATGCTTCTGAGTTAGTGGTTTCTGTAAAAAGGGATTTGGGTTTTTAATTAAAAGGCTGTAACATCTAAGGTAGTGCGAGTGTAGTTTTGGTATTTTCTGGAAAACTCTGGAAATATTAGATTTAACTAATCCTCATTAGTCTCTTGAACTGATCAGAAAGAGATTTTTCCCCCTCCTTTATGAGCACCCTCTGAAGGTAGGAAAATATTTCTTGCAGTGAGAATTAAGGGCTTCCCTGGCTTTCAGATAAACAGAGTGCTTTCAGTTTCTATCCTGCTGCTTCAGCCACATGACACATGTAGACCCAGAAATGCACAAGCCCCTTGGTCTTTATGTCAAAAAGCTATTCTTTCCACTGAACTCAAGATCTGTTATACAAGAACACCAACAGGCAAGCATAGACTAAACGACCTTTGCCCTTGTCTCTCACTCTGTAGAGAATAGATCCCTCTAGAACCAATATACAGTAGATCGTCAAATACCACTACATTGTCAGACCATAAAACCAAACTCCACTTATTGCTACTACCAATGGGAAATAACTTATAGCCCCAGTGGAAATCAGAACCAAACTTGGCTTAGTATCAGAAACGGAATCATAGCGTTGGAAATAAGAAAAACAATCAAAAATACAAAGTTCTGTTGCCACTGGGGATTTATTGTGGGTGCCAAGAAATCATGTATATGGGCTTAAGTAGCTCATGAATTGCCTATTTCAGGCATCCCCGTTTAACTGTTTTTGGAAGGTGAGTCTACTTGAACATTTTAGTGGGACCTCCATAACTGTCAAAGTATAATTTCAGGGAAAAAAAAATGTGACCTACAAAATCATGCAAAATGTACAGTTATTTACTTAACTCATTAACAAGGGAGCCAACAAGACAGCCTGGTTCAGAGAGAATTGGAGAGAATGAAATATTTATTAATTCTTCAAGGAAAAAATGCAGGGGTGCCTGGATGGCTCAGTTAGTTAAGCATCTGCCTTCAGCTTAGGTCATGATCCCAGAGTCCTGGAATGAGCCTCACACAGGGCTCCCTGTTGAGCAGGGAGCCTGCTCGCGCTCCCCCTGCCTGCCTCTCTGCTTACACTCTGTCTCTGTGTGTGTCAAATAAATAAATAAAATCTTTAAAACAAAACAAAACAAAAAAAATGCGTAAGTTAGATTTAAATTGAGATACAAAACTGGTTTACATCTTATAGCGCAATAAAACTATAACCTTCGGAGTTATCCTTTCTACAGAACTAAAATAATTTGCGTCTCCACCAGACAAAATGAATATGCATGCTATTGGACAAGAATGTTTCCATCATTGTCATTTTTCTGGAACAGGACATTGTTAGAAGACCTAGTCAACATGACTGACAACCAGTTATTTACTCATTCAGCATATAGTTAAGGGAGGCCTTCCTTGTACCAGGCACTGTTCTCAGAGCTGAGGATACCACACTTGTTTTCTGCCCTCATGGAGATTGCATTCCCTGGCCTCCTTGTATGTCCCTTGCTCCAGCCTTCATTGTCACAGAGAGAGCCAGGTCCTGCCCATAACCTTCCCTCATGTGCAGTAGAAAGAGGCCCCAGGTATATGGCAACCCACATTCAAACTTTAGGGTGACCAAGACACGCTTATCCTATAGTCTCAAGAGTGTTGGTAGAAGTTAATTTTAATAAATCAGTGGTGTAAACGGTTTCCTCTTAAACATGTTTTTAGAATACCGTTAAAGAGAATTCTGTCTCTTAATACTAAAAGCTGGCTGTCCTTGTTCTAAGTATTGTTTGTGACCTAGAATGATCTGGTTCTGAGGGAAAGGTTTACTGAAAGGAATTCATTTACCTTCTTTACTCCTCATTTAACTCACTTCTGAGGTTTTTTTTTGTTTTGTTTTGTTTTTTTAATCCATTTATTTGACAGACAGAGATCACAAGTAGGCAGAGAGGCAGGCAGAGAGAGAGGAGGAAGCAGGCTCCCCGCTGAGCAGAGAGCTCAACGCGGGGCTCGATCCCAGGACCCTGGGATCATGACCTGAGCCGAAGGCAGAGGCTTTAACCCACTGAGCCACCCAGGCGCCCCACTTCTGAGGTTTTCCAAGCAAGAATAAAGACAGAGCATGATCACCTTTCTGTCTTCTTTTGTTGCTTAATAGACATTTTGTATTTGGCATCTTCTCTTTCTTCATCACTCCTGCATTTTATTGATTTTTGGATTTTCTACAGATAGATGCAGTGCTGCTTTGGTTAGCATTATCTTAAATAAATTTGGGTGTGTGTTTTTGTTTATGGATTCCAGATAGTGTTTTCTGCTTTGGAGGAATTTATTACATGCCTGCTTTCTGTAATGGGCCAGTCATTCTCCATTTACTGGAGTGTATCCTGCCATTAGTGGTTTTGTCTTATAAAGCATAATTGAATGTTCTCTGTTGAAACCCTGGAGCAAAACAAATCTTAATCCAGTTATTTTGGTATTTGTGGAGTGCTTGGGTATATCAGCTCCTATTCTTTTTAGCAGCTTGGATCTCCGTAAACTTTAGCATGTTTTATTTTTCCCAGCGTTCAAGAAAATGTCTACGTTCTGTGAAGGTAATCTGATCATTGAGTTTTGTTCTGCTTTCATTAAGTCCGAACCAAGTATTTATGGGATGTTTCATTTGGTTGGGTAAATTTAAAGAACACCTACCCAGAAATATAAAGAGTAACCATCATAAAGATTTTTTTTCTTTTTGAAAACATTAAAATGTGTGTTGACTATAAATTGCAGATGAATATTTTTGAGTTAGAAAACCTTGGTATTTCATTTCAGCTATTTTTTTCAAGAGTGAAATCTGTACCTTCTACAACTTAATACAGTTTAAATAAATGTAGAATTAATACAGTGGGTAGTCTTTACATTTATTTTCAAATGTCTTTCATTTGCATTGTTTGGTTGGTAACAGTGTAAGCAAAATATACGTAATTGACTTTCTGACTGGGGAAAGGAATGTGTTCTTCTGGGTAGGTCAACAGTCTTAAACGCTGTGTTTTTTCAACTGTTTTCGGTAGTGGTGTGCTTACAGCACAGTCACTTACATAATAACATAAATACAAGAAAACAAATTGTCTTGCAGAGCCGGTTATATGACTGAAATTGGATACAGTCAAAATATTTCCAGATTACTTTTTTTAGCCTGTTTGTCACTGAGGAAGAGAACTGTGCAAAGGCCATTAACCCTTCTCTCTACTTTGGCATTTTCAGAGACAAGGAACTGCTCCCCCTCCAATGAAATTGCCACCTCCTTATAAAGCTCCATCTGATGATAGTGACGAAAATGAGGAAGAATATGCATTTACCAACAGTGAGTTCCTTTTCATTATTGGAAGTGAATGCAGAGTTCATTAAATTGTGCTTTTGGGAGTATTGTCAATTATCATATGTGGTGTTGTGGGTTCTTAGAAAATGGGTATAAGCATATCATGCTGAAAAGAAAATGTTGTCTCTCCTTAACTTTTGTTACTTTATTTTCATAAACTTTACTCCTTAATACTAATATAATATTAGAGTGAATATCAAAGGCAGTGCGTTACACACTATTTTCTCTACATTGCCTCCTAGCCTTACTGTTTGGCTGTGAATGCAGAAATGCTAAGAAGTCTTTTAATGCCCAGTTTGACCTACAATAATCTGAGCTGGATATGTGTGTCAGCTCTTGATTACTTGCTCTATTCAAACGGATGGTGATGTTACTAAGGCAAAATTAGAAAAGACTCCAGTCATATTTTCTCCTTTAGACTTCCTTTCATGATTTTTCTTTGCATTAGATGTATCAAATATACTTTCATACATATATTTAATGGAGCCTTTATTTAAAAGAATTTGCATTTCTTTTATGCATGTAAAGTATATGTACTTAGATCTGGTTGCTATTGTACATGGAATTTCTTTGGGGAGTATGAAAATACCCTAAAATTAGATTGTGGTGATGGTTGCACATTTTGTGAATATAGTAAAACTCCCAGGATTATAAATGTAAATGGGTGGATTTTATGGCTTGTGAAATATGTATATGTGTGTATGTGTGTGTGTATATGTTCTTTTAAATATATTCTTTTAAAAATGATCTTGTTCCTTCCACAATTTAGAAAAAGAGTTTGATACAGATATCGAAACAGTTAAAATTCTGGCCACAGCACTTCTTAGTGTATGACCTTCAGCATGCCCTCTTCTATAAAAATCATGGTTCTTCCTTTAGAGGGGTGTGATGAAGATTAAAATAAAGTGATAGGGACGCCTGGGTGGCTCAGTTGGTTGGACGACTGCCTTCGGCTCAGGTCATCATCCCGGGGTCCCGGGATCGAGTCCCACATCGGGCTCCCAGCTCCATGGGGAGTCTGCTTCTCCCTTTGACCTTCTCCTCGCTCATGCTCTCTCTCACTGTCTCTCTCTCAAATAAATAAATAAAATCTTAAAAAAAAAAAATAAAGTGATAAAGCATAAAGCCTTTTATCCTGCCGTGTAATGAAATTTCGACAAGTATATAGCTCTTCCTAATAATTATTATTATGTTGATTTTATAACTGACATTTTTCTAAATACGGTAGGAAGTCCATAAATTTGAATATAAATAGATATGTTTATAACCATTTGGTTGGTTTTATAAAAGAATTGATTTGCACTTTGGTTTTACAGAGCCCTTTCTCATGCATTATTTTCTTCATTCAACAACTTTCTCTTGAAAGCCAACTGCTTTTTACTAACAGTATTAAGTAAGTCTGTCATGAAAGAAATAAAACATAGCTTCTTTTTTCTTTTTGGGGGTCACCAACCTGGAAGGGAGGATACAAAGGCATCAGAACAAAATTTAATTAATGTGTCTAGTGCCTTGGCTGACCACCTCTTCTGGAGAGTTACACATGATGGAGGTGATTGTTCTGAGACGGGTATTAGGACAGCTGCAGCAGAGTGGGAATAGCTCGTTGGTTATTCATAATTTCTGGGATGCTAGAATGCGGGTATTTGCATAGTTGTTAGTGCTGGGTCCGTAATCAAAGGAGCGAGACTGATAGAAAGCGAAGGTCAAACAAAGATTTATTTCGCGCCAAGCATCGAGAATCAAACTGACCGCCCAGGGTGTCTCTTACAAAGAGGCGACCTCTCTCTGCCTTACAGACTAGCTTTTAAGGGCAAAGGCCATGTGGTTGGGCCTGGCCACGCATAGGTGGCCAATGAGATTGTAACACACAGAGAAAGCTGCACAGTCATGCTAGGTCACGCATAAGTGACCAATTGAATCAATTGAATTACAGTTTACCATATAGTAGATATTTGAACTAGCCTATCACCTTGATCAGAATTGGTGCCCAAAAGGCGCCCAAAGGGCGGGGTCCATACTCCTTGGTAGCTAGGGAGACAGTATGCGCCCCCACTGATTGGATAACTCCACCTGGCATGCCCACCCTTGTATTTGGGCTTTGTTACCTGGGACTGGTTTCTGGGATTTGTTTTTAAGTAAGTCCCCTGGGGGGAAAGGGGGCAGGGACAGTTTTAAGTTTTACTGCATAACTGCATAAACAAAATCACTGTTTAACCAGATGGGATGGAATCGCTCTGGCTAAATAGGCCCTTACAGGAAATCTGATTTAGGCATGTGACCAAAACTGTGTTCTAATCCTAGGTCTGTTCTGTTGTGAATTCATGGACCAGTTAATTAACCCCTTTATGGCTCATACTTGCTCCTCTGAAATAGGGGTAAGGGATGTCTTGCGATAATCCTCAAAGGATTGTTAGAATCTGAGGAGAAAAGCATTTAAAGAGCTTGGTGTAAGGACTGTGATACCTAGTAACACTCTGGTGTCAATGTGCCAGGCCTCTGTGTGTTGCTAATTCAGTCGACATACCAGCCTGTGAGGTCTCTAATTATACAAATGAGGAAACTGAGGCTCAGAGAAATTAAGGAATATGTTCAAAGTTACTCAGCCGGTCAGCAGTTAGAAATGTAATTTAAACGCAGAGTCTCTGACTCCAGAGCCTGTTCTCTCATGTGTACTTCCCATTAACTTAAATCTCATTTACTGTGGCAGAAGTGGGTACAAAGTGCTTGGGGTTATCTAGTGAGTATCACTGTGAGGCCATAAGGTGGGACAGCAGCACCCTCCCCAGAGCTCCGGTTAGGTACCTGTGTGTTCCCACATGTGCGCAAACACATTGACAGCATTCGTGGGGTTCGGGAAGACACCAATATGCACTACATACAGAAAAAAACTTCTGATTCCTAGATCACCTTCTAATTGTAACATTTCACAGGTTCTCCAGCAAATATATTTGGGCCATGAATATGACTTACCATTTGTTTTGCTTCCTAATTTTTTCCTTGTCCGCATACTTTCCCCTTCCCATTTAACTCCTGTTGAATTCACTGTTCATCTTTCTCCAGAAGAGTTTGAACTGTATGGGGTGTTAGATAGTACACATTTAAAATGTAGGTGAGCCTAAAGCCTCTGGCTTTCTTCTGTTTCTTTGTGAAATGGATCTCATGGCTTTTTCTATGTTCCTTAACTCTTACTAAATGCCTACTCTTCTCCTCCATCCAAAACTAAGAGTAGACTTGTTCACTGTTTTATCAGATTCTTATTGTCCCAAAACTAAGTGTGTCTTTTTACCGTTGTGAAAATATGATTTTCTAACTTCCCCATGGTCCAGGACTGTGAAGTGGACGGCTGGAATCCAAGCCTTAGGCCCACCAGGACGTGGTAATTGCATTAGAGGGATCATATATAGCTCAGTTAAAAGTATTAACTTTTAATATAGTTATATAGTTAACTTATAGTTAAACACCTGGGTGGCCTAGTCGGTTAAGAATTTGCCTTCGCCTCAGGTCGTGATCCCCGGGTCCTGGGATTGAGTCCTGCATCGGGCTCCCTGGTCCATGAGGAGCCTTGTCCCTCTGCCTCTCTTACTCTGTCTCTCATGAATAAATGAATACAATCCTTAAAAAAATAATTTAACTTAGGTGAGCTTTGGTGAGTTACTTAGTCATAAACTTCATCCTGCCAAGAAATGTTTCTTGAGTGTATATTTTAAGTGGGGAGACATTGTTCTGTTAGGGTCCGTGGCAAAGGAGCAAGACTGATACAAAGCGAAGGTCAAGCAAAGCTTTATTTTGCGCCAAGCATTGAGAATCAAACCAACTGGTCGGGGCCGCCTCTTACAGAGAAAGCGACCCCTCCTGGCCTCACAAACTAACTTTTAAAGGGCAATGGCCATGTGGTTGAGCCTGGCCACACACAGGTGGACAATGAGATTGTAACACACAGAGAAAGTTGCATAGTCATGCTAGGTCACACACGGGTGGCCAGCTGAATTACAATTTACCCTATAGTAGTATTTGAACTAGCCTATCACCTTGGTCAGAATTGGTGCCCAAAAGGCGGGGCCCACATTCTTTAAGGAGATAGTGATTGGATGTCTCCACCTGGCCTGACCCACGCTTGTATTTGGGCTCTGTTACTTGGGACTGGTTGACCATATTTTACTAGTTTCCTGGACTTGCTTTTAAGGAATTCCCCTGGGGGGGTGGGCAGGGTCAGTTTAAGTTTTACTGCATAAACAACAAAATGGCTGTTCAACCGAAATGGAGCTACTCTGACTAAATAGGCCCTTACAGTTCTAGATATTAGGAACATAGCAGGGAAGAAGATCTCTCTTCTTATTAGCTTATGTTCTAGTGGGAGAGAAAGATTATAAACAATACGATCGTTAAAATATTGATAAATAGTCTAAATAAGATTAAACAACATAGTGTGAGAATAAATGCTTTGGAGGAGTCGACATTAAGTACAATGGCAAAGAAAGACCAAGATAACACCTAAGTGACAAGAAGGAACCAGACACACAAAAGAGCTGGCTTCTAGAGTCCTATAGATCAGATTTTTTTTTCAGATTGTGATCCACAGTAACATATTTTACCTAACAACCAAGTATAGATGTGTACACACAGACTTAGTGCATATATAATTGAAACAAAAGTTTCACAAAATATTACTTTTATAACATAGGAAAAAATATAATTTTTCTATTGTTTCATTTTTTAAAATGATGTTTTCAACTCCCTCTTTCTTTCTTTTGAGATTCCATTTATTTGTCAGAGAGAGAGAGCACAAGAAGGACAGGTAGAGGGAGAAGTAGGCTCCCTGCCGAGCAAGGAGCTCAAGGTGGGACTAGATCCCAGGACACCAGGATCATGACCTGAACCGAAGGCAGACTCGTAACTGCCTGAGCCACCCAGGTGTCCCAGCTCAATTTATTTCTTGATTAATGAGTCACAACCTGCAGTATGAACACTATAATCTAGAGCTCTGG